CTCTTCTGAGGCGACAGAGAATGACGTCACATAAATGAGATGTGTGCCTCAATGTATTAAGGTATAGAATGACACATCATGGAAAGACAGTATAACTCTGTTGGTACATCAGACCGTCAGGTTACACAAGTGATAAACTGGCAGATGACAGTATTGATCACAGGAAGCTCTGGAGGAAAATTACGTCACTCACCGATGCATCACTGAAGATTTTCCGCGCGGTTTTCGACGCTAACGTACGGGATTTGTTTAGACCAGGAGGCTGAAAAAAATAAAATAAAATAAAACTAAACCAACAATGATCACAACGAAACACCAGCAACACAGTCAAATTTAGGGATCCGTTTGATTAAAACAGGGAACAACTGACAGACGAGGCTGAGCTCGGACAAAATGGCCGCCACAGATTTCGGCAGGCAAGTAACCGAAAAACGGAGTAAATCAAAGAAAAATAGACTTTCTTCTCACCGTGTTTTCTTTGTCCAACGCCATTTTGTTGGTCTGGCTGACGAGAATATTCTCGTCTTTGACAGACAGAGAAGAGCGAGCGGAGAGCATTTTTTTCTGAGGGAAGTCAATAAATAGCGTCAGTAGAAGAAGAAGAAGAAGAGTTACAAAGACAGCGAAAGAAAAGGACGGAACGTTGTACAGACAGCAGCAGCACAAACACACACTCCTCTCACACACTCAGACTAAATCGTTTTCCTCTCAGCTCGGTCTTTTCATTGAAATCTTGGCGCTTGAACGCCCTCAGCCAATAGCTACTCTGCTCATGGTGTCCCTTTAAATATGACGCAGCAACGCTAGCCAATCAGGCTGCGTGACTTAACGCACGTCACACAGAAGACGCGCGGTTTGTTACAAAAGCGCCAAAAGATCAAGACAATAAAAGTAGTTAAACAAGCATTTAGTATTAATAATAATAATAATAATAATTAAACTATTTTAATCACATATTTGGGAAATTCTTGCGTTAGCAGCAGATATGCTGTTTTGAGATTTTGAGTGAAAAAGAATCGCCGTTTTAATCTAAACATTAATTTACGCGGAAAAAAGCGTTTCAACAGGACGGGATGATTTTTTTTTTTTTTTTTTAAAGCTTTAAACTCGCAAAGTCTGAGTTTGAAGTGTCAGGGGAGCGGGTCAAACTTCAGTGTAGAGAGCTGAACAGAACAGAACTCTTGGTTCTTTGTAGAGAGACAGCAGCAGGTGAACATGGAGACGGACGTCAACAAAAACTGACAACCCCATAGTTGAACAACGACATTAAAAAACTGCTGCAGTGTTTTGAATTGTATTTGGTTATAATTTCAGACGTCATCGTGTGGTTAATTAAAGGAAATACATATTAACAAATGTAAATAACATTATTGACTTTTAAAATTAAACTACAGTCACATCAACGTCACAAATAAAGGATACCACTGGTAGTTTAGTTAGTCTCGTCGATCTATCATTTGTTTTCCACTCGGTCTTGATAACGTAGTCCTTTGTCTTTTCATTCATAACACGAAGCCTAGCTCTTCTGCCGCCTCTGGGTGAGCAAAGGCGCTCTTTTTTCTAGTCACAGCCAGCGTTCTGATTCGCTGCTGGACAAACGTCACCGCCAATGTTTCCAAGTTTTTACAAAGTTCAGTTTTAATTTAATCCATACTATTGTAAAAAAAAAATCGTGAATCAAAGAAAAGTATAGTTTATTGTGAGGAAACTCAAAGAACTTGTTTCTGTCCGGACCGTGATCGAAGACGGACAGCATCATGGCGGCGGAGGCAGATGAACCTGTGGGCTGCAGAAAAGTAGACCCAGCTAGAAAAGATGAAGACCATAGACAAATATTAAAAGGTGAGGTCTTTGAGGTGTGGTCGCACAGCTGTTAGCCGTTAGCTCCGGCTCAGTCAGAATGATGACTCCTCTGTCCGCTCAACCAAAGTCCACAGAAAATGAATATTTAACCTACAGACGACTTGTGTATAGAAGTAAACGCTTTACATGTTTTTAATCGTATGTCAAATTCACGAGATCTGAATGGAACAACGGTGTCGAATCTTTCCAGTTCAATAAACCAGGTCCAGTCTTTGACTTGGAGAAAAGAGCAGACGTTTTACCCCCGTGTCTTTGCCCCTGTGCTCCTGCGGGCTCTTTTTACCTCGTATTTTCAAACATAGAACTTGTTCTTCTTATTAGTGAATAACAAACAGGGTCTGTCGTGACGACGTCACTTCCTGTGTGCAGGTGCGCTGTTCCTGACCACAGCTGCCTCCGTAGGAATGATCGCAGGATTCAGCTCCACATTAGCACTGGCCAAAAAACGGAGTCCTGACTGGTTCAGTAAGGTACGGTTTCTGTGCTGTCACCAGACCTCAGAGAAGAGGAGTGGTTTTAGTGACACAGACTGACCACAGGAGGCAACAGTGGGCCATCAGCTGCAGTGTCTGAGCTAAAATCACTCATTTCCTCTATGGATTTCCATATGGGAGGGTTGTAACAGTGAGCAAACTCACAGGGACTGTTACCACAGAGCACCAGCGCCCTCTGCTGTTTTTAAAAACAAAACATATACAAATAATTCAGAGTTAAGGAATTTATTTTCGAACGGTTTCCTCTCCAGGGCCTGACGTCAACAGCAGTTCTTCCGGAGTGTGGCTCGTCACTGGCTCTGCGAGCGCTCGGCTACGGCTCTGTGTTTGCCTTCTGTGGTGTCGGACTTCTCAGCGCCGCCGTGTGGAAACTCCTGGGAGTTCACAGTGTGAGTATTCTGGGGGTCTTAGTGCAGACGTTAGCTCCTGTAGTCCACTGAAGGACGAACTCAGAATAATTTAAATAGAGCGCTCTTCAACACTTCAAATATATGAAGGCTTAAAGAAGAACAGGGGGCGGGGCGTGGGGCGATGACGTCATCACCCAACCTGCTGTGGTTCCACAATAGAACATGTTTTCTCCTCTCTCAGCTGTCAGAATTCCGTCTGAAGATGCAGACCCTGTGCCCACCCATCCCCAAACCCTCTACTGCACCGGAGCCAGTGGACTGGGACGCCCTCTTGGGGTCAAAGGGAGGGACTACAATTGAGAAAGAGAATTAAAGACATCCACAACACACAGCTGCTTTTGGTGGTGGTGTGATCTCAGATGGTCCTGGTCCAGGTCTGGTCCAGGTCTGGTCCAGGTCTGGTCCAGGTTCAGGAGTCATTGTGAAATTGATGAAGAAAGTCAATAAAATATTTTCTTCATCGCTGGAGTGCCACTACAAGTTTTACCTCCTTAGAACGGAGACTTTTCTTTTTAAATGAACGAGTCTGTTGATGTGAATAAAGATCTGCATCTGTTGAAGACCACATCAGATGATTGGGGAAGGGTCTGGAGTTGGTCTGTGACGGGAATGTTCTCTGAGAAATAAAAACTTTTAGCTTCACTTGTTGTTTCACAGCTGTTTTTTTTAACATCTGCTGAATTCATCAATGATGTAATGATGACATCATCAGTCAAATGCCCCCTGTAAACTAAACACACCCTCGTAAAGTCAGTTCTGTTAAATGTGTGTTGTCCGAGCACTGACCAAACCTCAGACTACAGGAAGTGATGAAGGCAGGTGGCCCCGCCCCTCAGCCTGAGCTGTGAACCATGAACGAAACAAATGAACGGGTCGGATGAACAAGAATGAGACCGCTCAGTGCGAGCTGCCTGTCACGTGACAGCTGAAGTGAATGTAAAACTCATTTTGACGATTAAAACAAAAAGTACCAATTAATAAGTTCCTTAAAACGTTGACACGGTGCATTTATTGGGTCCAGAATTATTATTATTATTATGTTTTATTATTTTATGGCAGAGTAAAACAATCAATGATGATATTAGATTTATGTATAAACACACTTTACATTAAATACAACACTATACAAATGAGGGACATAAATAAAGTTAAATAAAACCTAAGGAACCGAAGGAACGATTCGTGAACGATCCTGTTGACTGAGCTTATGCCGCTGCCTGCCATGTGGCGACATAAGGTACTGCAAGAAAAACGAACAAATCTCTCAGTGAGAGGACTCATTACTCTCGAGTCATACGAAAGAGTCGTTCATATTGAACGAATCGTTAATGAACGACACGTCACTAGTTGTAATAGTTTTCATTAGAATCGAACTAACCCGTTGTTAAACCCAAACTCATAAACACCAACAGAAGAACGTTCCACATGTTTAGCCACGGTGGCTGATGTGACCGCTAGCACTGCCGGATACGGAAATACCCCACTTTTAATACAGTTCTTTCCGGCTAACACAGCAGCTAATTAGCACCGTAGCCGGAATAAGAATGACTCACGGTTTTTGACAAAATTACACTGACCTGAGACCTGTCCCCCGGTGTGGTGGCCCGTTGATGATGTATTTGCTGTCCATTCCAGCCGACCGGAGCGTCAGGCTCCTGAGCCGGGCCCGTGCTGAGGAGCCTACGGTCGGTTGGTTGTAGTCCATACACCCGCCCCATATCCGCGCATCACGGGGCCCGAAGACATTAGTAGGTGGTGACGAGAAGGTGTCGCCCCGGACGGCTGTTGAACCTGCCCTGAGAACCGCTGCCGTCCCAGCACTGACCGGTGTGGAGACCATAGGGTCGGTAGTTGGAGTAGTGGTCTGGCTGTTGTTCTTGTTGTTATTGAAGCCCCCCCCCCACACCTCCACCCCCGGACCTCAATAACAACACAACAAAACAAGTTAAAAAAATATTTAAAGTAAAATATTTAAAGTTTTCCACGTAGCACCACTGAATGGCGCCTCCCGGAGGAGATGAGAGGAAACGCTATACACCAGCCTTGTGTATTGGGAAAAATATAAATATTAATAGATCCTTTAAATAACAGCTACCATCATTATATACATACACGAGTGTGTTTATATAAAAACATGAACGTGTGTGTGATTCAAACAGACAGAAACGACAGCGGCTTCTTCACCTCTTCATCCTCAGGGGCTTCAACTTTGGAGAAGAGACAGTTGGTCCTGGGTCATGGACTGAAGAATCCACTCTTTATTAAAACAACATCAGACAAACAACACTGGTGTCACCATCATCATCATCATCATCATCATCATCTTCATCATCATCACTGTCTCCAGGCTCTGTCAGCTGCTCCTCTACTGTGACCCAGACA